CCCTGTTCCGGGTTTGACATGTACTTCTTTGTTCTGCTTAAGTAGGTGGGTCAATGGCCCTCAGGCACATCCCCAGCTTTCTACAGACCCCATGGGGGAGGGGTTGTGAATCTTCACCTGCAGCACAGGAAAAGTGTGTGCAGGCCATCTCTTTGCATCAGCTCAGGGGGAGGGGCTCAGACCCCATGGGGGAGGGGTTGTGAATCTTCACCTGCAGCACAGGAAAAGTGTGTGCAGGGTGCAGGCCATCTCTTTGCATCAGCTCAGGGGGAGGTGGTCCTGCTGGCCATGGGGAACCAACACTCAGTGATGAAGCTAATCTTGCTCTGTCTCTTTTCTATGTGAGTAGAGTTCTCTATCCAGTGCCTGGATGAGTCATATCTTTCTTGGTGACCCCAACACCTGCAAACCATGTGGTGGGTTAACATCCTGGGACTGCTGCTTCTGGTGGTAGGCAGCAGGTGTCACCTGCTCAGCAATTGCCATAACAAAACTCTAGCTGAAAGAAAAAAAATGCCTACTAAGGAAGCACATAACTAAGGGACCTGACTCAAGTTGAATGTATGACCCAGACTGGGGAGTGTCAGAGAGGTATCAATGAAGTGACTGGGGTAAGAAAAAAAAGTATAAACAAGAGCTAATTAGGGAAGGATAAAAGAATGGATAGACACTACAGGCAGAGGAAATAATGTGCAAAGGCCCTGTGGCAGGAGTAGACATTGTACATTTGAAAAAATGGAGGATGGTTTGCCTTCAGAGCAGAAAGTGAGAATAAGCATGGGGCAAGCAGAGACTGGAAAGGGAGATGGGGTCATACCTTGCAGGGCCTTATTGGTCACAATGAGAATTTGCTTCTGGATCCATTGAGAAATGGACAGCACAGAACGGTGTTTTAAGAAGAGTTTTGACACAGTGGGATTTATCTTTTAACAAGACAAAACTGGCAGCAGTAGAAAAATGGATCACAAAGGAAGAGAATGCTCACAGAAAGATTATGTCGGATTCTACCCAATGCCCTCATTACTTTCTCCAGTTTTCCACTCAACACCTTTACAAGTGACTGCTGTTTCTATGACTATATGTTGAGTAAGGTAGCTTAGACCAGTGGTTCTCACCAGGGAAATTGTACCCCTTAAAGGACACTTGGCAATCTCTGGAGACATTTTTGTTTTCACATTGTCGGGGGGTGGTTACCGGCATTTAGTGGGGGGTAAAGATCAAGGATGCAACTAAATAAATATCCTGCAATACACAGGACAGCTCCCACAACAAACAATTTTCTGACCTGAAATATCAATAGTGTTCAGAATGAGAAATGCTGGCTCAGTCCATGGTGGTAGTGAAAATAGAGAGAAGTACAAGGGTACTTCAAAAAGTTCCTGGAAAAGTAGAATTGAAAGATAATAATAATTCAGCAGGAATCAGTGAGCGATTGATTATGAGGAACGAGGGAAAGATCACCATAGGTAACCCTCGGGTTTCCGTCTTGCTCACCTGCGTGAGTGGGGGTGCTATCCACTGAGATGAGAAACGCTGGAGGAGTTGATGGTTTGTGGGGGGAAGATAAGGAGCTTAGCTTGAAACCTAGCCTGTGAGATGCCTGTAGGTCATCCAAAAGAAGTCAAATGCAGTTCTCTAGGTCTGCAGCTAAAGCGAAGAAGCCCAAGCAGGAGTCACACATGGGAGAGGCTTCTGTGCTATTCACAGAAGCCATGGGCACGGATGAGATGACCTAGGAAGGAAGACAGAATGAGGAGGAAAAAGGGCCTACAACTGAGTGTTGAGAAACTCCTAGAAGAGGAGCATGAGCCAACAAAAAGCATCTAAGAGGAGTGGAAGGACATGTCATATATCAGAAGCTTCGAGAGGGACTGTTCTCCCAACATTCTCAAACATGAGCACCACAGGTTTTTTTAAACTTTGCTAAACTAATCAATTTTTTTTTAAAGTCCTGTTTAAAGATACCAAAGTTTTAATTGGTAATTTTTGGTAAATAATGAGATTAAGCATCTTTGCCATGTTTACTGATCTTTTATATTTGTTTTGTAAATTGGCCAGTGCATGCCATTTGTTCATTTTTTCTATTTTAGATATTCATATTTTTCTATAGATTTATAGGACCTCATAACATGTTATGGTTTTTAACTCTTTGCTTTTTACGTTTCTTATGTATTTTCCTACAATTGAGCTTTTTTTTTTGGGGGGGGATGTCTTTCTATGAAGTGTTTTTTCATTTTTATGGATTCAAATTTGCTGATTTTATCTTCCTGCTTTGGTTTCATGCTAGAAGAAGCTGTTCCTTCCTAAAGGTCATAAAAATATCCTTCTATATTTTCTTCAAATATTAAATTATTTTATATTTAAATTTTAATCTGTCTAAAATCTATTTTCATATGTGATGAGTAATTGGGATTTTTTTTCAAATGTGAGACAGTAGTTTCAACATCAGTTATTGAATAATATGTTCTTTCAACCTCCTCTTTATTTTACTAAATTCTATATCCATTAGTCTGATATTGGACTATCTCTTTTGTTGTTTAGATCAGTTGGTATATTACTAGTCTCAAACCAGACCATTTTAATTACTGTAGCTTTATAATATGCTTTATAGTAAGGCAAGTTGTACTAGGGCACTTCAAAAAGTTTGTGGAAAAACAGAATTAAAAGTTAATACAAATCTTTCTGTGAACTTTTTGAGGTACCCTCATATTATTTTGTAATCAGAAAAAAACATAAAGTTTTGTGTACCTATGTGTGTCTGGGGGGAGGGTGTACGTGTGTGTTTATGTGTGGAGAATTGATGGGGAAATGTGTGTGTGTGTGTGTGTGTGTGTGTGTGTTTTACACATGGAAGGTCTGTGATGAAGTGCCTTTAAATAACTAGGTCTAGTTTGAGAGATGCAAAGAAGTTTTAGACAGTGCCTGGAGCAGAGAGTTTCCAGAAAAGTTTGGAAAAATAAAACAAGAGTTGGAGCCTATAGGGCTCTCAGAAGAAGTTAGTGCTCACCCTTACAAGGCCTGCAGATTGAGGCAAGCGGAGAGGAAATCTGACATGGACTGATCTGTTATTTTTAGACACCAGCACCAATTGCATTTCAAGGACCCCTAGGCCTGGGAACCTTTTCACAGCCCTTGGGGAAATCACTGGTGATGCTAAGGTCAGCCATCCCCCCCCCCCCCCCCCCCCCACTTAGAGCTGATCTGGTAAAGCATCAGCAGCTGTTCGTGGGCTTATGGGGCCCTCTGGGTGCAGAGGGACCCTCAGCTCTCAGTCATATGCCTTATCTTTCATTGGCCCACAGCTTTCAAAGAAAACAATTCTTGTAATTCAGCAAACGTTCACTGAAGGTCTGACATCCCCAGTGCAGACCCTGTACCAATCCCTCAGCAAGGGCCCATCTCCATCCAACTCTGGGTGAGTGACTTTGAAGCTCTTGCACACATGTGCACACACATGCATAGGCACACACTAAGCACCTAGCTTAGTCCCACTTCTCCTGACTCAGATGCACTTCTCCAGGCTTAGACGTCTCAAAGCAGGGATGCTCCTATCATCTCATTGGGGTTTTGGCCCCACCTGCCCAGGATAGGAAACAGGTGGATCTCCAGGAGAGAGCTGGGGTATTTGAATCACTGTAGCCCCTGTGCTGCATTTTTGTCATCTTTCCTTTTTGGCCTCTTCCAGGTTCTGCTTGTCCTGAGTTTTGTCTAATGACACCCATCTAAAATGGTAGGGGAGATCATTACTCAGTAAACAGTGAGAATGTCCCTGGGCATTGCCAAGGCAGTTCGGCTAAAATATGGGAGGAAATGCCTCTGCATTACTTGTTGCACCAGGCCTGGGTGACCTAGGGACCGCTTCAGCCCCAACACTAAAGGTGTTTGACTCCACTCCACCTCCACGGAGAAGTGGGGCCAGGGCCCGCCTCCGAGGGGGGGGGGACCGCATGAGGTCATGCACGCCCACGGAGTGCCCAGTCACCTGGCCCTGGCCCCATTTTCCCTCCGCGTAGGGTTGGGGTGACGATGGAGAAAATTATTAGAAAGATCAAAAGGCTCTTGGCCTTGGCACAGATGAAAGAGGGAGGCAGGCAGTGGTCACCCTGCTGCCGCCCTCCCCCACGTAAGCTCTGGAGGGATTCAGGCCCAGGGCCTCGGCCCCTCCTCTCCTACTTCGCGTTGGATGATGGTGGTGGGAACTAGAAGAGGGAAGGTTTTGGCTTGGACCTGGAGAGGGGCATCGGACCCTGGGGACAGGCAGGGGCGGTCTTCGGGCACGAGGCGCTCGCCCTGTCCCTTCCCCTTGCACCAAGGGCTGGGGGTGAAGGTGGCAGGAACTAGAAGAGAGAAGGTGACGAGGTACAGTAGTTGGCCTGGACACCGACAAGGAGGCGGGCCCGGCCGAGG